CGTGTTTAAGGACAGTCAACTGATACACATTGTAGCAAGTTAAAGCGATCCAAACGTTTTACTTAATAATCTTAATATCGTTGATACTAAACATACTTTTACTATTTTCCGGATTCAGGACTGCCAATTTCAACAGTTACTTTTTCTGAAATAGTTACTTATATTTTACATCGCTTTCGATTGATTGATTGATTGATTGATTGATTGATTGATTGATTGATTGATTGATTGATTGATAAAAACATTTTGTAATGGTAATATCGAAAACAAAGTTCCGTGTTTAATTCAGAATTTGTTATGACAACCTGTGATCTCTTTGATCAATAAAAACGGAATCGTAACGATAAATTGTCCACCTTGATTATGTTACAGTTCCTCTGTATTCTGTCCTTGATACACGCTATTGTTTGTGTGCCTAATGCATTGACCAACACAAAATTAATATTTTATCAAAAATCAAGTTCTAAAGTGACGCCGTCTTGTTAACTTTTTATATCACGTGCCGATACGTCACAATATAATCTGAAAATTGTTAACGTGTACTAAACCTTTAATGACGTCATACAATCTTCACTTTACGTTTTTTACGATAATGTTCTAGAAGAACGCAGTAATCAAGACAATACCGCATGAATCTTTTCACTTGTTTCGCGCAGATTGCTTAAGAGAATCCCTCAAAATTGATATATTTCGCAAGACTAACTATCCATACTCTCAATGAAAAATGTTTCAACTCATAATGGGGATATAGGTCGACCCCTCAACGTCTGGCGATAGGAAGTGTCACGGAGACGGAAATTCTGTAACTAAACAACTAATTTACAAGCTGAGAAAAAAAATTTTCCAAAAAATTTGTGAATAACACTGGTACCCCAAACAGCGTCAAGGACGAAATAGTGACGTCACGTTTCCAAACCGTAGAAATGCACAAAACTGTTCATCACTACCCCGTTTCTTGCTGTTTTTGGATGAATGGATGAATTCTAAAAAGTAATTTTAGAGTCGTCAGAATGCGAAAAAAAAAGATCCGTACATTGCTTGGTCGTGTTGTTGTCAGTATCAACAGAAAAATTAAGTAAATTAAGAAATAAACGTACTGGTATATGAATATAGATGTATCACAGATGCCCACACGTTCCCCATTTATAGGATTTGAAATTCTGCAATGATTACAATTTTAACCTAATTTCATCAAAACCTGATTCCGATCTTACATTTCAAGGAGGGAGGGCTACTTCATAGTAATCCAGCGCGTTGGGGGACCATGGTTGGCTTCATACCAACTTCAATACAAAAGGTGTGTGTACATCTCCCTACCAATAATTAACTAGCGCGGCATCACTAATGGGCCGCACATTAAATATACATTAACCCGCGAGGTTACGCACGCAAAGCCCGATACGTTGTCTATTTAGTAGAAAATTGATGTTTTTTTCAAGAGTTTAACACTTTTAAAAGGTTTTTATAAAAAATTAAAGGTTTAACTTCTGTTCAGTTTTTCTTTAATTCAATCTAAATCACCATAGGTAGGAGTTATGAAAACTATAAAAAAAAATATCCATTGAATTTTACAATTATACTGTTTCTTTAACTGAGGTTTTTGTTTTTTTTTATTTTGTTAATATAATTTCTCACAAAACTAGAGTTTTTAAGCCTGGACGATCCCTGTGTATCGTTGATACTCACAATCTAATCAGCCCAGCTATTAACACCTATAAATTATGTGCATTAATTTTTACTTAAACTTTTAAGTGTTTAAGAAAAAAAATATTCATTGATTCATTTTTTTTTCGTCGATATTTATTCTAATCATCCTATGGGATGTTAGTAATAGGATGTGCCTCTCAGTTCGTGCTGAAGATTACATTTGTTTGTTTTGATCCACCTATGTACATGTGCAGCATTCTACAGAAAGATCCCAAAACGTTATTATGGAAACATCTATTTTGCGGCTCAATTTGTTATCTATTCTGATTGTGCGGTGTATAAAACATTCCGTCTTTAATAACTTCATTGACATGCATAAAAAGCTCGCTTATCAAATTGTCAAGGAAATCTCAATCTTCGGGTTAAGATTTTTAAAGATCAGCTCTCGGTACAGCCCAGTTGAACGTCAAAAATAGAGTTTTCTTTCTTCATGACAAGAAGAGGTAGATTTTCAAAGCATAGTATTTAATTAAACTAACTAGGAATACAGCAATTAAATAAAAGTACCCAAAATGGTAACTTGCTCCTTAAAAACCTATTCCGCAACACCTAGAAACTTTTTTTTGGTATGAATTTGAAAATTCAATAAGTCGATATATGATCAATATAATGTGATTTTAGTGAACGCCAAGTACATCTGCAGTTTATAGACAGTTCTACCAAAGATCTGGTATGCTGCAGTATGGCAAACCTTGGTGACAAATGTCCGCCAGTATAATTAACCCGTGCAATCAAAAACTATTGTACAAATTACAAAATAGATAAAGAAAACAAATTACGCAGAAACAGATATTCCATAAGATCAAACTGCATCATGTTTCATTCTTCCAGGATTCTTCCTGTGTTCTAGTATTGCGTACAACCTTATGCTGTTGCATTATAAACATTTATTGGAATAGATATAAACGTTTTGATTGTGACACCAGTCAGTCCCACTTCTGTGAATATGTTCATAATACGAACGCATTTTACATGTGGGGATTTACTGCGAAATCATTAATTTTCGCGGTGATTAGTTTTTGCCTTGATATCGTTAGATATTCTATATCCATGAAATAATGTTTTCACGCATCAATAAACTGTTAACCATTGATATACCAGAAAATAGAATTGGAACGACATTGAAAAATGATGGGGAAGTTTTACGGTCGTCATAGCGATTTCATTGAGAAATATTCAATTTCTTTGTGAAATATGAAAGCGAACGTGCTTAATGATGATTAGTTTGCCTATTGGTTCCGTTGTTGTATACATTATTTCCATTTGAGAACGTGACATTACTTACTAGGATTACCCAAGACTAACATGGCGGATGTCGTCGATGAAGCAGAAGACGCTTACTCTTCCGGAACACCTAGTGTTATTGTCCTAAGTTTATTGAACTTGAGTTAATGTTATGATGATTTCCACATGTTGGCGTTGTCTTGTTTTGCACATAGGTATGGTATTATTACACTCGTCTGACTTAAGGACTATATCTGTCTTTGAAATTTATGATACTTTCGGTATCTACATACTTCTTAAACAGAAACCTTCAGATGATATGGGATAGCATAAGACCGTATGTTTCTGCGCACAGTAAAATATGTAATTTACACGAAAAGTAGACTATGTAAAGTATGATACTTAGACGTTGATACAGAACATAAATAATAATCTTTATATTTACCTTTGATACTTGCGAATAAAAAAAATCCCATTATAACATATTGCATGATACAAACCTCTTCAACAGTAAAGAGTTCATTTAAACAGTCATATTGTACCGGAAGCAGCACATATGCAGGTGGATTCATTTGAGTGTCATTGACAACGCCCACGACAACAAAAATATTTCAAGAGAACAGATTGTTAGATAAATGTTTCTATTAACTTTTGTAAATATAAAATAAAAAAGAAAAATACATGTATTCACACAGGATGAAAATGGTGACATGACTGCGTACTTGTGCTCAAGCTTAAACGCCATGAGTAATATCTGCAAATTCAGACATAAGATTTTATAACATATGAAAAAGTTATTAAGCAGACCCTGTGTCAAACTGTACCACATTTCCGATAGCATAAGAATTATTAATTTACGAATCACATTGAAATGACAACATTTTGGAAAACTACGAAATTCCAGCTTCTATACAAATACGCAGTTATACTGTTAATTTCGTTGTCTATTTTGAATGGATTGAGAACAGTTAAGTCTGCATTTGTACTTAAACCGTGATAGTGATCAGCTGTACTCTATGATTAATGACTACAGGAAAGCCGGAGAACGATTCGCTCTGCCTTTCGTATGTTAATTTAGCGGATCGAAGACATGTGTCCATGTGTATTGTAAAAATATGCAGGTTAAACTCGACTGTTGGCTGGATTGGAGGAATGTACATATGACTGTTGTAACTTTTGACAGACTAAAATGATTTTTTTTAAAAATGTAAATTTTGATGAATATTTTTTTTATATCTACATGGCAATACATCTTAGATACTGTTAAAATTTAAAATTCTTATTTTACATTAATTTCAAAACAAGTTTTTTCCAACTAATTGGTTTTGTTTGCGCGGATATAAGCATGCGAGGGGTCTTACTGTGTTAGTCAAATCCCAGACGCCTTTGTGAAAGGCGAGTGCGTCACCAAAGACGAATAATTCATTTTTGGCTTCTGCAGTTTTGTATCCCATATCATGTTCTTGGTGATAAAAGATATTGACATTTCAAAATTAATAGCGTAAGAATAATTGATATTGAACAAAACCTGTTTGATTTTCCACCAAGACCTCGAAAATTATACACAAAAAATCATTATTTAGGATTTTCCGCAATTTACAGGTATATGTCGTCTATGAAAAAGGAGATGCTTACTTTTCCGGAAAACCTATTCTTCTTTTACTTTTTCAATAGTCTCCCTCTTCATATTATTGTTTCATATATTCAATTTCGAATTCGAAAACAAGACTTCATGTTCACGAAGATGTATCGCCACGAAGCGGTAGATCGATACGGAATATTGATAACGGAAAAATTAGATTCGGAATAAGGTTTCAATGAGAAAAATATATACATAAAAGAAAACGGAAAAGAATTGTAAAACACAGGAAAACAAAAATAAAATACATATGTTTCCTATGTTGTTAGGATGACATTTTGCTCGCATTCTGCATTTTCAGAATTTAACGAGTTACGCTGCTATTTCTGTGTAGGTTCTTCTAGAAATTACATCACTTTCAAATATGTTTTCTGTAAATGTCCATACTGATTGACATGGATACATTTTTATCCTTATTGTGTTGTTTCAGGAATTAGAGGATGCAAGAAGGAAGGCAGTTGACCCACAGGGCAGTTGGCTATCATTTATAGAACATTCTAAACGTATTCCGGACGGTAAACAATCCGGACGGAAGCGGAAACATAAACGGAACAACAGATTGGTAAGTAAATATCAAATACTATCTCATAAAGATGGTAATATATTAAAACGTTCGCTTTTTGATAGTCAAACAATCAGACTACAAAAAACAAACAAACATACAAATATACAAAAACAAAATAAACCCTACAAGACAACAACATTACAAAAATCAAAAACAAAATAAACCCTAGAAGACAACAACATTACAAAAATCAAACAAGCAAACAAACAAAAAAATAAAACAAAGTAAACAAAAAATGTTGCTCTATCAATTCTTCGTATTTAGACGATTAAATCTTTCATAGTCGGTTTTCGATAAACAAGTTTGAAAAAATATTATGGAAACATACAGAATACAAGAAAGTGAGAGTGATAAGAACACCTTGAGATGAGAAAGACACAGAATAGACAGACATATAGAACACGCGGACGAAAAAAAGGACGATTGACTGAAAATGGACAGACAAACATATAGACGTTAAGATTAAAGCCACAGAGCACGTGGGCGAATCAACAATATGACTTACGTTTGGGTGACAGAAAGACATGCAGAAAGGCTTAAATGACAGAAATGATACATGATTGACAGAAAAAGACACAAACGACAAAAGACATAGACAGACATAGGACATATGCAGAAAATAATGCAAATATGGACGATGTGGTCGATAAAAATTTAAACCACAACGTATACTGAGATTGAAGTGAATAACATTATGTGTTTGATATTAGTTGATTGAATTTCAAAACAAGAATAAGAATTCCAATATATATTAATTTTACATAATTTTTAAAAAATCAAATAACAAAACTGAGTCAGAAACACGTGTTCATGACTTTTATGCAAATTAGACACCACCTGTTTGTACTCGTGTACGTCATCAATCACAATGGAGGTGACATCGATCAGACTTATATAACACTTCCGATTGTATGTATAGGGTCGGTATGGTAAAAATCCGAGGGGTAATAAATGTCATTATTGTACAAGACGAGTTCCATTTTGTTCTGATTTGTCAACTCCATGTAGCATATTATCTATTGGACCTTCACTCAATATGCCCAGAAAATTTGGTCACTGCGTCTGTTTTCCTGTTCTAACTTACACAATGCGTATTAGTATGTATCTTGGAAAGTCGCTGTACACTTCTGCACATTATTTATACAAAATTGTCCATCTTCTGTTAAATTGTTTGTCCTGTACGTGAGAATTTAGAACATCAATGTACATACGATGCACAAGATCTTATGACAAAACCAGTAGAGTGTGACATTTCGATGACTACGCGGTCACCTGCATCAGACAAATGACCAGTCTGGAGAGTACTTACACTGACGTACGTAATGTACGAGATGGTAAAGAATCGAACAACTATTTCGGCTGTACTATAATTCTATGTACACTAGGGTCGAAAAAGTGTGACGAGATGGTAAGGAATCGACTAACTGTTTCGGTTTTACTATAATCCTATGTACACTAAGGTCAAAAATAGTGTGACGAGATGGTAAACAGATTATAGTCATCGAAACTTTACATTCTTCTGGTTGTGACGTAAGAGCTTTTATTCTATTGGCATTACCAACACGAAGAAAATGTTCCAAATAACCCCATACATGTTGTTACAATTATCAACTATATGTCGTTCTGAATGGAAATAAGCCATAAGACTTAATGTAAATTACAAATGAACAATTGTACTGACAGCTCTTATAAAACAGCCATACTGTTATAGTCTATACACGTGTTTTATTCTGTGTCATTTACAGCGCTGTCCGCCAGGACCTATGGGACCACCTGGCCCCCAAGGTCCTCGGGGAATCCCGGGACCCCCCGGGGCTACAATAACTCAAGATGAAATGATGAGAGAATTTCGGGCGATGGTTAAAGGTAATTTGAAATATTATTGATCATTTGTGAGCTTTCTACTCTTGTTGGTACATAATGCTTTTCACTAGTAACTTGTATCTCAGGTATATGTTTCAAAAATATGCAAATTTGTAACGAAACGAACAAATCCCCACCACCCGCCAACACCCAACACCCAACCCTATCACAACCGCAAATGACCCTGGTGGTTAAGAGGACGTTAAACAACAATAGCAACTATAACTAAACGTTTTTCAATGTAACGCCACGCTGAAAGCTATTGCGAAATGTCTCCAAACTTCACAGCCTCCATACTGTTAATGGGCGTTCTTTAGGAAGCAGCTTTGGTAGAAGCTGTGATCTATTCAGTAGTTAATGGGTCAATATGGTAGTAAGCATCCCTTAGATCTCGAGTCTGTCCTTACTAATTTGTTATGAGTAAAAGCAAAATGGAAATCACTTATTACTCTCATCGTTACATACTGTGAGAAAAGCAAACATTGTTTTGGCACAGACAAGTGGACTTACCACACAACCTCACTCATATTGTGTACTTGAATAAAAAGTGTAATATGCATTTTGAGCTTGACCTCTGATTTTTAAATAGTTTTGATTGAAAGATTTTAGTCGAAAATTAATAAATGATACGTTTACACATATTTGAAAGCAAGTTTGTCTCATTAAAAATATTTTACTTTCGTTTGATTTCATTTTTATAGAGGAGAGGAATCATTTGAAATTTTGTTGGAAAATATCAATAAGCTGACTAGGCTTTATATCTTACAGAGAATGAAGCACTTTTTCGCATAACCTCTTCAGGTTAACAAATAATAAATACAAACTGTTCATAAAAAAAATATGTGGGAAAAAAATCCAAATCATCAAATAACATCAATAAATAACGATATCAAATAATTCTTTGTGGAAAAAGACATGAATAATCGTATTGTTTTATATTTTGTTAAAAACATTTTTTTTAATAATTAGGATAAGCTGACCATGCTCCTTAAACATACTGCTATGATTTGTGAATCCCTGTTACAGGAGCTAGAAGTACTAACGCTGACCTTTCAGAACACCGCGAAGGCACCATTGCTTCCGATAAACCAAATAAATACGAATATTGCAAACATTTTGCCAAAGACAATAGAAATCTATCTCCTATACACTTAGTAGAATAAGCCTCACGATATGGGCCGACCTCCCTGCTATGGGAAAAGTGGTTTTTACTCTGTAACCTCTTTTGTTCAATGTGTTTACTACGATTCGCATACTCCCTGAAACCCTCAATACACTGAAGGAGATACTCTCTGTTCCTTCATTCTTTGTCTTCTTTTTACAAGAGATACAAAATATTATCCACACTTTTAAATCGTGTATTTGATTATGTGTTGATATGTTTTCAATGTCCCAGACATTGTGTTGTATAAAAGTGATCCCGGAAGTGATCGCATGTAGTTATTGTCAGACAGCAATGTCAATGTCAAATATATTGATTATCTCCCTTTTTTATTATCTATTTAATCATGAAAGTCTTTTCAGTAGAGTCAATATTATTATCTATTTTCAAGGCTAAGCTATCATGACCGAAAACTATGACAAATCAATGCCGGAAAGTCAAAACCCGTGTGATTTCGTTTAATCTTAAGGCTTCAAAGAAATCAGATATACTATTTTACAAAAAAATATTCTGAAATTTATTTAAGAAATGATTGGGTGAAAAACGAATCATTCTTGACAGAAATAGCACATTTCAACAGGCTTTATATATACTTAAGAATGTGCGTTCAAAATAAAAAAATTGTTCAATGTTGATTAGAGAGGTACAAGCACGCCTTCTGAAACAACATTTTTTCTCAAGAACTAAATATAGTAAAAGACCAGTAGTTGTGAAGTCATTTCATCATGGACTTTGAATTTACGTCTTATTATCTGTAGTGTTAGTTGTTCCTGAGTGTCCTATAAACAGAAATCGAGGGAAATGTTCTACGTTTGGTATATATATATATATAAACCTGCCCATTGTATAGGCCTGAAATCCAATATAAAACCGCGGGTTCAGTATATATGATAATAGACACAATACATGAATATACTTATACTCATAATGGTACCCGCGAATTCAACGAAAATTCATACCCCAAAAAATTATTAATTTTACAGGAAAAGACCATTTAGTATACTTCAAATGTACTTTATCTAACGCACTCAAATTTAAGCCAATGATATCTGTTCAGCATCTTTTCGCAACAATGAATTCATACATCAGTGGTAATTGTTTTATATAAACGATATCCAGATAAGAAATTTAGCGCAATTATATTTTAGCGGAATAATTTCAGCGAAAATAACTAATACATGAAATATTGCTCCATAGCCTAAAGAATAGGAGATGGTTTTATACAAGGATTTGATTCTAAATCTGTTATTTTTTTGTACAATATATGTATCACTACAATATACGATAACAAGATAAAGTTTAAACTAAACCGCTAAAATAATAGGATCGCTTAAATATTTGCGTTTAAAGTATACTTATTTAAAGTTCGAATGGCTGTTTCACATACGCAAAGAAAGCAAAATCGTTTTACTATAAAAACTAAGTAAATATGTAGTATACATTAAATTCAAATTTGATGTTTTCGAAGACGAACAATTCTAAATCATTTTCTACTGATATGTTATTTATCTTTGTGACGGTAACACTGGTTTAAAAGCTATTACATTTTTTTAATAAAAAAAATATATTTGTGCAAAACGATGGTTAATCTAGGGGGGAAATCCGATTAAATATCCTCAGTAGAACCGGAGTTCTTTTAACGCAACCAGTTGGAGATCATTCTTACATTCTATAGCGTTAAAACGACTTACCGCCTACACCTATAGCACTGTTATTGAAATATGAGTGTTACATACAATGCTCGATGGTGCTGGTGCTTTCTTATCAAATGTATAATATTATTTATTATCCGTAAACAAACAATCAACATAGCTAATAAAAAGATAGTAGCAGGTTTACTCCGCAGGACTCCGTGGTTGAGTGTTATTTCAACAACCCACAAGTACTGGCACCGGAGTCGAGAAAAACCAGGATTGATAAACCTACAAATAATAAGATTAATGTCTAGTATTGTGGGTGGTCAGCAAACTGCGTCAGTTTCTACGTCATGTAGATGTTTACCGCTGGCCTATGTATTCACTTCAGTTAAAGCATTTTTTTAGCATTGATTCAAAAGAGGATGTGAAAGTACTCACGTTTAATTAGTTTCGTAAACTATTGATTTAATTAGTAACAGGTAAATCAATATGTTTAATTACTAATTAATAAATCAATATGTTTAATTAGTAATTAATTAATGTTAAATTCTCCTTGGGGTTGTTCTATGCTCCATATAATGAACTTTCTTCGATACGAAGAATATTTATGAAACAGTGTTACACTTCCTAATCATGCATATGCATGGGGCCACATTTATGCTCAAAGTAAAAATTTGTTGCAGTTTTGTCTAATTATGAATTAAACTGAATCATACAGCTGTTGTGTTTAGGACTCCTCAGTGATAATGGGGGACCAAAGCGATTTCGAAAAAGACCATTATAGATGAAGGAATGCGCATATCCCATAATATTGCCCTCATTTGGTTTTGTTGACGTAAATCCGTTTTAATGGTAACTAGTAAATTAGAAAAGCATTATTACTACAACTTCAGGCGAAGAAACGCTAACACTACGAGATCACCTGGTCGTTTTTTTTTTTTTTTTTTTTTTTGTGGAGGCCAGTTTCATATCTTTATTTTTTTAACCTCTCTCGCTTTGTAACCTATGTTTTGCGAAGACATGACCAAATGTAAACCAAATTTGTTAAAAATGACAACCAAAAATAGAGAAATAACAAATATTACTGTAACACATTTATACTTTATTATTAAAATCTTCAATATAAATAAAAATTCAAGTGTGTAATTCCAAAACTCCGTAAACATCTGGAATCAATATTGCGGTGTCTTCTTCATACAAATAAACAATACCGACACAGTAAAGGAGAGAAATATGTCTCACTTTTTTATCTTTTACTGTCAAATCACACATGCCACATGCTGATCCTGATATGCGTTGATTGACGACGATGAGTGGCTTATATTGAGGTTCTGGTATACTTCCATGCTCACGCCATATCAGACACGTGCAGGAAAATGAGCAATGCCAAATGGAACAGTCACGTGTCATGCCGCCTCGCTAATATGTCATAGACTATACTGCCACCATAGTGTTGAGTATGTCCATGCATGATTGCTGGCAGAACACAGTGGTAAATGAAATGTACCGTACGAAGTGAAAACAGCGCTGGCACGTGTCCTCAATCGATGGATTAATCTGCTAAATCCGTTCCGACAGTCTGCATTGGGTTTAATAATAAATATTTCATATTAGATATTATATGACGTTTGATGTTTGATACATATTACAAATGTGGTGTTTTCTGTATGGCCAAAATTGTGTAGGGAGGATGTATGTTTTTCGAGATAAGAACTGTTTAGAGAGAATGTATGCTTTTCGAGATAAAAATTGTTTAGGAAGAATTTATGCTTTTTGAGGTAATAGCATTTTAGGGAAAATGTATGATTTTCGAGATAAATGTTTAGGAAGAATGTATGCTTTTCGAGATAATTAACATTTTAGGAAGAATGTATCCTTTTCGAGATAATAACATTTTAGTGAGAATTTATGCTTTTCGAGATAATTAACATTTTAGGAAGAATTTATGCTTTTCGAGATAATTAACATTTTAGGAAGAATGTATCCTTTTCGAGATAATAACATTTTAGGGAGAATTTATGCTTTTCGAGATAAATGTTTAGGAAGAATGTATCCTTTTCGAGATAATAACATTTTAGGGAGAATTTATGCTTTTCGAGATAAAACCTGTGTAGGAAGATTGTATGTTTTTCAAGATGAAATATTGAAATGGGTGTAAATTTCATAAATATATATATATATATTGTCATTTCTTATTTATCATT